CACCTTGGGGTCCAAATGGGCTTGATAAGGGGTTATATAAATTCAAGCCATTTATATTCACACAGACAAAAATTACCAATTAAGAACAAATAACAGGGGAAGTGACAGCTAAAAAGGGCCCAACAGGAGTTGAGAGTCAGTTAATACAGCAGCTGGCAAACATGGCTGCAAAATCCAGTGTGGGGATCCTCTGAATTTACCCTGCAGCTCTCCCAATGTCCAACATAACCTGTGGGTAAATCGATATGAAAATAAAAATCTGTAATTAAATACTCTGAATAAAAATCAAATTGTTTCTGAAGATTAAACCCAAATTTGTTACGTTATGCACAGGAATGAACCCAGGTCTGGATGGAAGATGAGTTAAAAACAAAAATGTTTATTAAACAAAACAAAAGCTGTCGTGGCAGCAAAACTTACAAAAACACTGGAGGTACGGGGGAACATGAAACAGGCAAAGCCGTGTAACGATCCTTTGAGGTAGTGAAGAACTGAGTCTGAATAAATACTAACAGAGGAAGGGATAAGAATAAGCAACAGCTGAGAAACGACATATTATAAAAAATACTGACAGGTGAGAGTGGTTAACAAGGAAATGACAGGTAAACAATAGAGGAGAGAATGTAAAGGCAACGAGAGAACACCAGAGGGAGACAGAACACAAGACACAAGAACCCAGATCCTCACAAAATTGATAAATTCATGATTTTTATTCAGTTACAAACTGTTCTCATTTTTTATACGAGAATTTAGTAAAGTCAGTGATACAGATTTTAAACAATTAATGGAACAACAAATTAATATTGAGGAGATAGATACGGTTATTTTGAAGATGTTTTTTGGTTAGTCGCCTGGCTTAGATGGGCTAACTGAGTTTTATAGATCCTTATGGGAAGATAAGAGAGATGCTGTACCAAACTTTCTTACAATGTATTTCAACAGGTAATCTCTCTAATACTATAAAGCAAGGGATGATCACTCACTTTAATAACAGAACCTAATAAAGACTTGTAATCTTTGGATAATTGGAGACCCATCACTCTGCACTGATTATAAAATCTTAGCTGATGTGTTTGCTGACCGACTGAATGTGTGATCAAAAGATATAATTGAAAAAAGTCAATCAGCCTTTGTCAAGGGAAGAAACATTCACAACCGTATTAGACTGCTACTTGATTACTGCGACTATACTGAAAGCCGTATTTTGTTTCTGGATTTTATCAAAGCATTCAATAAGACTGAGCATTTTGAATGTTTTTTGTTAGGTGCTTTAAAGTTTTCGGGGTTTGGAGATCATTTTTGCAAATTAATTAAGATTTTAATATAGCTAGCTCAGTTTCCTTACTTCTAGACTTAAAATTAAGTGAGACATTTGAAAGGGCTGTCCTATTTCTCCCAAATTATTTATTTTGATTGCTCAATTACTAGCCCTTCAAATCAGTAACAGTCCTGAATTAAAAGGCATTAACATTTTTGATAGAGAATACAAAATTAGTCAATTTGCGAATGATACAGCACTGTTTTTGAAAAAAAATTTCATTGGTTAAAAGAGCTCTAAATATGGTCTCTTTACTCTCCAAGACTTCACGATAAGGACTTAATAAAAAAAAGTGTGAGATTCTTCCCATCAACACTTCTACTCCTAAAAACATTTTGTCAGAGTTGAAAATTAAGTTAAATATTTGTGTGTACTAATATCTAAAAATGTAATTAAAGGAGAAACTGCTAATATCTCAGATTGCCTGGTAGATGTTAAAAAAAAGTCTTAGCCGCCGGTTAACAAGGGATTTAACAACAACAACAACAACAACAACAACAACAACAACAACAACAACAACAACAACAACAACAACAACAACAACAACAACAACAATAATAATAATAA